AAAAACTCACCCCGAGCACAAATATTCCGTTACTTTCGTATCGAAAGTCGGAACAATTATACAAAAGAAGCAAACCCCATCTATCTCTCGTTTTTCTAATGCTCCATGTCTTTTTCTCTCCTAACTGAGTTGTAAACACAAGCTCAACCGCATATACACATAATCCTTCTCTTTCCAGATTCTTTCTCTCTCTCTCTCTCTCTCTCTCTCTCTCTCTCCTTTCTCTCTCTCTCTCTCTCTCTCTCTCATTTCTTCTCATGAAAAGTGTAGAGCATTTTCTTTCTGCGCATACATCTGGTTTTACGGGTCAAAATAAATCAACCAAAAACTTCTCGATGGTTGATTATAGTTTTCAGAGACTTCAAAGTGGCTATAAAATACAATCAGGAAATTTTTTTCCATTTTGCCTATTTTATATTTAAAAAGCTCGAAAGTTTGCTAATACTTATAGACAAAATCCAAATAGTTTCTAATTTGAAATGACTGGTAGGGCTTTTTTGTTGTTAAAATCATGCAATTCTTTTTGTTGTTTAAATTATGCAATTTCATTTCAATCAACAGGAAAGGACAAATTTTCTTACACTAAAAACAGCTTTCAACAATTGAGTTTGAGTTAGACATTTAATATTCAACCGACACCGTGACGAAGCATTTTTTTTGTTCCTCCGTGAAATCGCTGGGCACTTTTTATGCTGTACGGTACGGTCCGTACGTTATTACGACGCTCTTTGGCTACCTCTCAGAACACCATCATGAGAGCTCAAATTTTGTATGTATAATACAATTTCACTTCACCCGTGATTGTGATTTTCAAAAAAAGATTGCTCACTGCTCAAGAAACAGCGGACTGAATTTTTCGTTTTAGATGAAAAATTACAGACTGAATTTCCAATCTATTACAACTGGGATTTTGTAAATATTATGATTAGTTTTTTTGTTTATATTTGTTTTTTTTTCTGTGGCTTTTTAACAATTTCAGTTTTCTTTCTCCAGCTAAAAAAACAACTCACAAAAAAAATTAATCAAAAAGTTACTAGCAAAATTTTGAAAAAGGTTCAATTTTTTTAAAGTTTTGTTCTTTGTTCTTGTTTTGTTACCCTTGATTATCCTTGCTTTCATTGTATCTCACAAAATAAGGTCAAAGTTTTGTAATCAGATGTGTTTTATTCTTTTCCAAGGCTGAATGTTTAATTATTCAGCCTTTTCGCAACCGATCAAAACATTTAGTGCGGTTTTTTTTTTTAAGGAGCCAGAAATATTGCTATATGGATGAATTTTTAAAGCAACAAGCTAACATCTAAATATTGCTAGCTATCCATCATCATTACCATGATTTACTTCCAGACAAATCAAAATTTGAAAAACACTGAAAACTTCCATCTTTGCGGCCGAAACAGACAAAAAGCTAATAAGTTAAAAATAACATTAATCAGCAACTGGCGCCTCAAAAACCTCATTACCAAAAGCAAACAAGGATGTCAGTCAAGTAAGAGTTTTTTCGGGGTAAAAATTGTCCTGAAAAACGTTCAATCAATTTGAAAAAGCCAGAACTTTTTGAATAAATTGTCCACGCTTTTTTAGTACAACTGACATGTATAAAATAAATTGAAAAATAAGAATTTAACATATCGGAAAACTTCGCCATCTTATATTCATATCTTGAATTTTGACTAAAACCACTTTTGCTTCAGGTGGTCAATCTTCATACGCTTGTCACGCCAATATTTATGGCACCATTGCTACAATACGAAGATGAGCATTTGACACAAACAAAGGGGCCGGCATTTTAGGAAAAGAAAAACAATTGAAAAAGGCAATTGAATTTGACAAACAACACATCTTGGAGCCCTAATCCAGCAGATTTGTCTGATTTGTTCCCTTTTTTCTGCAATTTAATGGAGACAAACTAATCCCGATCCTAATTGATACAAGAGACAAAATAGGAAAAAACAGTTATAACGTGCTGTATCATTGCACTCAAAAAAGGGTGTGTGAAAACATTTAGAATTTCTTAACTTACAGTTCCAATTGCTCGTGAATGTTTAAATTTGTCTCGGAATCCTTGTCGCTTTGTAACCAAAATAATTGAATTCAGAAGATTAAAATTCGGAATTACTTATTCCAAATTGCGTCCAAGTAACATTGTCAACATAATACTCCGTCAAGCAAAAGCAAGGACGCAAAATTAGCGAGTTCTCGTATGAATAGTATCAACTGTTTGTGAAAAATTATCTTCCTCTAACCTCTATTAATCTTTAATTTTGGTCGTTTAATTGTGTGGTATACATTTTTATTTGCCTATATTTACATGTTTGCTGACAATCCTTGGAAAAACAAAATTGAAAATTTGGGTAAATTTTGTTGCTTAACAATTGTAATAATTTTTTGATCATTTTGCTGGGTTTTTGTTTCTAATCAATATCTGGCAATAATTTCACCGCCTGAACTTTTGTCTAGTTTTGCAAGCTATATGTGCTGGAATATATACCTTCAACAAAAAATTTTCTTAGTCTGCTATTTTTAGTTTGTCAAACAGTTGTTAATGCATCTCACCTCAGCTGTGGAGAATGATATTTGAAAACTCCAGGATAAACTACCACAACTTCCAAAAAGATGAATTTTTTTTTCATCTGTTACAAAAATTGCTTTTATGTATGGAAAATCTTCCGAGACGATTGGTTTTATCCAAGGGGTGAAAGATTGTGGTTTAGTGAATTAGAACTTGATTTTTCCAAAAGCTGTTACATTTTATTAATTGTAAATAAGAACAAGACTGCTCGTATCAGGGCGAAACCCTGAATGTTCCGACTGCCTTTTAAAGTTTATGGAGCAGTAATAACATAAATATCATTAACAAAATAAACGTAAAAAATTTTTGTAAGAAACTTCCAAAATTTGAAACTTTTTCCATGAAAATCATCACCCCACACGCCATGTAAACTACAAAAGAATAGATTTCGCTCCTTTTAACAAACCAATTATGGCAAATAAGCTTCTTTCAACCAATTTGGAACGATTTCTAAGACGGATTAAATCTCCGCTTACGCATTAATAGCGCGAAATATATCGCGCGTTAATTGTCCCAAATTAGCCACAATGGTAATCTTTAAACCCTCATAACTTTACGAAAAATGATTACAAGTGAAATATCTTTTAAAATTTAAGCTCAAAACAACAATACCTTTTGAGTGATATAAGAATTTCCGTCAAAAATGGCTTGTTAAAAAGTCGAAATTTGTCTGAAGAAAAAAACTCACCCCGAGCACAAATATTCCGTTACTTTCGTATCGAAAGTCGGAACAATTATACAAAAGAAGCAAACCCCATCTATCTCTCGTTTTTCTGATGCTCCATGTCTTTTTCTCTCCTAACTGAGTTGTAAACACAAGCTCAACCGCATATACACATAATCCTTCTCTTTCCAGATTCTTTCTCTCTCTCTCTCTCTCTCTCTCTCTCTCTCTCTCTCCTTTCTCTCTCTCTCTCTCTCTCTCTCTCTCTCATTTCTTCTCATGAAAAGTGTAGAGCATTTTCTTTCTGCGCATACATCTGGTTTTACGGGTCAAAATAAATCAACCAAAAACTTCTCGATGGTTGATTATAGTTTTCAGAGACTTCAAAGTGGCTATAAAATACAATCAGGAAATTTTTTTTCCATTTTGCCTATTTTATATTTAAAAAGCTCGAAAGTTTGCTAATACTTATAGACAAAATCCAAATAGTTTCTAATTTGAAATGACTGGTAGGGCATTTTTGTTGTTAAAATCATGCAATTCTTTTTGTTGTTTAAATTATGCAATTTCATTTCAATCAACAGGAAAGGACAAATTTTCTTACACTAAAAACAGCTTTCAACAATTGAGTTTGAGTTAGACATTTAATATTCAACCGACACCGTGACGAAGCATTTTTTTTGTTCCTCCGTGAAATCGCTGGGCACTTTTTATGCTGTACGGTACGGTCCGTACGTTATTACGACGCTCTTTGGCTACCTCTCAGAACACCATCATGAGAGCTCAAATTTTGTATGTATAATACAATTTCACTTCACCCGTGATTGTGATTTTCAAAAAAAGATTGCTCACTGCTCAAGAAACAGCGGACTGAATTTTTCGTTTTAGATGAAAAATTACAGACTGAATTTCCAATCTATTACAACTGGGATTTTGTAAATATTATGATTAGTTTTTTTGTTTATAGTTGTTTTTTTTCTGTGGCTTTTTAGCAATTTCAGTTTCCTTTCTCCAGCTAAAAAAAAACTCACAAAAAAAATTAATCAAAAAGTTACTAGCAAAATTTTGAAAAAGGTTCAATTATTTTTTAAAGTTTTGTTCTTTGTTCTTGTTTTGTTACAAGAATAGGCATTGCCAGTTTATTTTGTGCTACCTTACCTGCCTAGCAATTGATTATCCTTGCTTTCATTGTATCTCACAAAATAAGGTCAAAGTTTTGTAATCAGATGTGTTTTATTCTTTTCCAAGGCTGAATGTTTAATTGTTCAGCCTTTTCGCAACTGATCAAAACATTTGATGCGGTTTTTTTTCTTTTAAGGAGCCAGAAATATTGCTATATGGATGAATTTTTAAAGCAACAAGCTAACATCTAAATATTGCTAGCTATCCATCATCATTACCATGATTTACTTCCAGACAAATCAAAATTTGAAAAACACTGAAAACTTCCATCTTTGCGGCCGAAACAGGCAAAAAGCTAATAAGTTAAAAATAACATTAATCAGCAACTGGCGCCTCAAAAACCTCATTACCAAAAGCAAACAAGGATGTCAGTCAAGTAAGAGTTTTTTCGGGGTAAAAATTGTCCTGAAAAACGTTCAATCAATTTGAAAAAGCCAGAACTTGTTGAATAAATTGTCCACGCTTTTTTAGTACAACTGACATGTATAAAATAAGTTGAAAAATAAGAATTTAACATATCGGAAAACTTCGCCATCTAATATTCATATCTTGGATTTTGACTAAAACCACTTTTGCTTCAGGTGGTCAATCTTCATACGCTTGTCACGCCAATATTTATGGCACCATTGCTACAATACGAAGATGAGCATTTGACACAAACAAAGGGGCCGGCATTTTAGGAAAAGAAAAACAATTGAAAAAGGCAATTGAATTTGACAAACGACACATCTTGGAGCCCTAATCCAGCAGATTTGTCTGATTTGTTCCCTTTTTTCTGCAATTTAATGGAGACAAACTAATCCCGATCCTAATTGATACAAGAGACAAAATAGGAAAAAACAGTTATAACTGTTTATGACTTGGATTAGCAAACAGCAACAAAACAGAAGACATGCATGGTTGTAAGAAGTGTCATTTAACGCATGGATTTCCACGCGGGACCATTTGAATAAAAAGGTACTGAGAGTGATTAATTGATAGTTTTTTGTTCATACTGGTCACGCACTCACTTTTATCTGGTCCAGAACAAAGCATAAATAACTCCAAATGTCATTGATGTTTAACGTACTAGAACAATGATTCTCATCCTCCTATCTGTGCACTAAATTTACATTCAATAACATATGACTCCCTATTGTTACAAGATCCCGCCTTATTCGTTCACGTGAACCTTCAATTTGTCACACATTAGCATAAAAACACATTCGATTCAATTCACGATTTGTTCTCAGATGTCGACATGAATGAAATTGATTAAACGTTAAGACGTGTCCTTGACAAAACTTCGGCTCCTCAGACTGCGATAATTGCGTCCATCGATTCATAGTTGAAGTTGAGAAGGACGATGCGGTTGAACGATTGACATGAGTGCCGAAGAATTCAGCAAGATCTTGACTCGGAAACAGGCCTCATTCCTCTGTATCAGCGACCTCATCGAGGATTATCTAGGGTCCCAATCGGCCTCATTGGAGTACCCGTTCCAGCTAGTCCAGGCACCCTACACCTTCTTGAGGATCCGGAAGGAGAAGAAGTACAAGTTGAGGAAGAATGACAGCAAGATTTACAGACAGGCAGTGCTGGACTACGCCAACATTCAAGTATGAACTTCAATTTCATCGCTGCAAACACCTAGTTGCAGTAAAAGTTATCGCCAGATCAAAAGTAAAGGTAGTCCTTAAACCAAATTGCGGGCAATTCAAGTGTTTTTGTTATTTGTCAACAAAATATTTGAACTTTCTAGAAAATAGATGGGCACAAAAATATGTCATTTTAGGACAAACCGGGGCAGATGGCGAAAGACAAGCAGCACCTCATTTTATCTCTGACTCCTTCGGGAACCGAAGAGGAAAAGAGCTACAAGAGTCTGTCATCAACGCCTTGCGGATCCCTGCACAGCGTCCGATCTAGATCACAGGCGAATCTCGCCAATGCTGGCACAGCCGGATCTTCCGAGAGCAACCAGAGTAGAGGAGCTCGGTTTAAGAAACAATCGCCGTCCATGTCGCCAAGACACAGGAAGAAAGCGTCCAGTACCGAGAGGGTTCTATCGCCCACCAATCACAACGCGATTCACATAGTGGAAGCAAGCCCAGCAGTCATTGATGACCGACTGCATCAGAGTGGGAGCTCCGGAGGCTTTGCTTCTCAAATTGATGCCTTGTCACTCCTGCCGAACAAAATGTCTCCACGTCATCTTGCATTTCAAGCGTCACATCGCCATTCGCCAATGACCAACGAAACAGCTCAAGGCGCCTACTCAGCGAAAACTTCCAAACTCCACAAACCACCGGCACCTCCGCCTCCAGCAAGAATGTCAAACGAAAACCGAACGCCTCAAACGCCGTCTAAATTTCCACGTGAAGCCGGTACTACAAATCTAACTTATCAATCGTTGACCTCACATCCTAATTATGGAAACAGTTTTGCTCCGAATTCTTTCGACAGCAGTTTCCATTCAAACAATTCTTGGTATCATAGCGACGACGAAGACGAAGACGACGATGTTCACGAAACACTTGACGAACTAAATCAATCGCCCCGACATAAATCAGAGCATGGAAGGGCACTTCTAACTAATGGACACGGTCCAAGCATAGCTTCCAATTGGCCAAATAAAACAAATCTTCCCACTAATCAGAACAACTTGCCACCCACGGAACACTTCATTTTATCAACCAGTGAAGTTGCAACCACAGAATCGGGTCAGCACCAGATATTCGCCCCTTATCACATCTTGTCATCAAACCCTCCAAACAACGATCCAGTTTGTAGTAGTAGCAGACCAGTTCCCCGCCACAGTTCTCTGAACTCTGCTGTTCCTGGAAACGGAATCCATCCAATCGCTGCTAATCTAGAAACATCGAAAAGTGAACTGAACCAGCGAATAAGTGTTTTGTTTGGAAAAATTGGAAGTAGTGCTTTTGAACTTCTTGACGAACACAAAGAAAGTTTGGGCGACTGTGTTAACAATGAGTACACTTTAGCTTCGCTATTCGAGCACAAATCGGGATCTCTGTTCTTTTACGGAATGGTCGATACAATTTTCTGGAACTCCCATTCCAAAACTATGAGTTTAGTCGAGTTTCAGACTACAGTGAAAGCCACGCCCTCTCCATATCACCTCTTGCAGCTCTACTGTTTCAAGGAAATTGCAGACAAGAAGAAAATTTGTAAGAGAATTAAGTTGTACGTTTTGGGACTGCATTTGGAATCCGACGGACCTCGGTTGAAATTGTGGAGGTACAAAGCGACAGGAGCGATGCCGAGTTTGAAAGCTCTTCTATTCGACTCTAAATTACAGACACAGGAAAGACTTTATTCATGCCCCGAGTTTAACTTTATGGGCCGACTAAAGCAAGGCAAAGAAGTCGTGTATGAAATGGTATGAACAAATTTCTCATCCAATAAGTCCGAATTTTCTCTGCCAGCTTTTCTTCATTCAGTATGTGATATTTACAATTTTCGAATTGACGATGTTTGATAGATATAGATTGCAAATTTAGTTTTCTATCCTCAAAAAAATTGACACGATGAAAGTTTTTTTTTCAGTTAGGTAGTATAAGAAAGCGACAACTTTTAAATTAGCCCAATTGATAGGGGAGACAGCTGTTTCAAAATGTCATCAGAGTGATATGAGAGAGTGAAGTGGGCCTGTCATATCCCAATTTGGTCAGATCCAATTTTGAGGTTTCATCAGATCTTATAACGACCCTATACATTTTTCGAAATAACCGCCCGCCCCACCTCACGTCAGAAAATTCAGTGCACACCACTGCTTAGTGTGTGTACCCAACCTAGGTATACATGCAATGCTTATACATCATGCAGTGCTACTACATGCTACCGAAAGCCTTGTTGTTGGGAGATTGAGTATTTGGCTAAATAGTTTTTTGAAAATGTGAAAAATGCGTGTTTTGTTGGTAGGTTTTTCAGATCTTTAAAAGGCTAATGCGCATACTTTGGTGCGCCTACTTACCCGCATATGGTAAACTTTGTTGGCATATCTATCAGTTACTTGTCAAAACAGAAGGGGATGGATTAAATTGCGCGGTATTGGAATCTTTTTTAAAAAAGATTCCCAAGACTTAAGACTTGAAAAGGCTGCTATTTCTCAGACTGAGGTATAGAAACTAGATAACCATGAGTTTTTTCTCTTTCGCAAACCACTTGATGCTATAGAATCTAATATGTCGGATTAAATTATTTAAACAAATTTTCTAAGTCAATTAATAGAAAATTACTCTCCCGTACCCAGGGGATTTTCTGTGCAAGATCTGAAATTCTTTATTTTTTTAAGTTAGTTGATTCCCAAATCTGGATAAGAATTTGAAAATTTCAGATATGAAATAAGGTCTGCGAAACCCTTCGTTAAATTATAAATTTTGCATTTCGAGCAAACAATTGAGTTATTATTTTTTGATGTTTCTGCAATACACAATTGTTTAAATCAGCGGTGAATAAAATTCCTATTTTTTTCGAACTAAATTTCTAGTTGAACTGTAATAAAAAGTTTTCAAAAACTGTTAGAAGAACCATCATTTTTTTGAGTTTCATCCGCTATTTATGCGTTTCCAATGTTTATCTCATGCTTGGGGAAACATATTTTGGCAGTCTCCCATTGGAGATTTTACTGAGTACCTGCTAGTAACTAGCAGAAGCTATCAAACACAAAAGTATCAAAGTTAGCAAAAATTGTGTCAAAATCATTGAGTTTTCAGATCTCAAATTACCAAAACAATTAAAAATTCAGATCTAAACTTAGATCTGAAACACCCCAATTCAAGTATCCAAGCGTTGCTTTAACAGTTAAAACTAATTCAGATCTGAAATTTAGATCTGAAAAAGATAATTTCAGTTCTGAATTAGAACAATTACTAGGTATGGGTTTGTTTGTTCAGGGAAACCGAGGTACTAGATAACGTTTAATTGATCTATGCTCGATAATTGGCAAAGTACTCTGGTTGCAGCAGGGCTGTAATTTGATTTTTTTTTGCTCCGAAACTAGGAGACAGTAACGGAATACTTGTGCTCGGTTTGATTTTTGGTCCTCCTACTCCCCTATAGGATGTCGAAGAATTTAAATATAGTTTGTGTTTGTAGCTAACTTCGACTACCTCTAAAAGTTTCGCAGGGAGATAACGGAATACTTGTGCTCGGGGTGGGTTTTCTTCTTCAGACAAATTTTGACTTTTAAACTATCCTTTATTGACGGAATTTATATATATCAGTCAAAAAATATTGCTGTCATAGGCTTAAACTTGAAAAGATAGATCACATGTGTGTATTTTTTGTAAGCTCACGGGGGTTTAAGGTGTGCGAATTTGGCCAATTTGGGCAATCGACACACGATATATTTCGCGCTATTTACGCGTTAGTGGAGATTTAATTCGTCTTAAAAATCGTTCCAAATTGGCCGAAAGAAGCTTTTTTGCCATAATTGATTTGTTTTTAGGGAAGAAATCCATCACTTTGTACTTTATGTGGCGCGTGGTGGGAAAATTTTCACAAAAATTGTCAAATTTTTAATTTGTAAAAAATAATAATAATTTTTCCTTACAATTATTTTTTTTTGTGATTACTGCTCCATTGACCTTAAAAGGCAGTCGGAACATTCAGGGCGTTGCCCTGATACGAGCAGTTTTGTTGGCCTGGATCGAGATTTCAAGAGAAGAATCAATTAGTTGGCTGAGGCCGAACCTCCACGATTTATTTCAAAACTAATTAAAATTTGTTTAGCATTCATTACTCTTCATTCATTCATTCATTTTTCTACCTACTTGCTCACCGTTTACTAAAAAAAGTAGTTTGGGACATTTGGCTCTTTTTGTGTTATCAAATAGCACTTTGTTTGATAACAAGCTAATTGTAAATTGGCCACTTCGGGACAAAACAGAGGCAATCTATTTTGTTTTATTATTGCTTGAGCGGCGGTTTATTCCGGCTCAAAAATCACAAAACTGCATAGCTTTTTGGTCTTTTTACTAATTGCCTGGCATAGAAATTCCCTGTTCTGGTTTGTGAACATTTAATTTTTTAAATGTATGGAAGACTGACTAACGAATAGACCAAAAATGCAAGGTTTTTGAAAGTCATCCATCTACACGCTATGTGAAAAACCAATTTTTATGATTGACACTTATCAAAGTAATAAAAAATCTAAATAGCGGTTACATGACAATTTAATTTACACTTTCCTACTTCAACTTACCCTTTACGTATTTACCCTGCGCCACTTTAATCTCTGTTCCAGCTTATCCTATTCAAGCTTACCTTATGGTTGTTATAATAAAAACTTACCCCAGGTCTTTGAAGAATTCCGTGGAACAACACCAAATAAATATCAAAGAACCATTAACTTTGAATTTAAAATAATTTCCACATGTGATTAAAACTTGAAATCAATACTAAGAAACCTCGTTCAAAAATCAAATGTGATCAAACTTTGAACGAACAAAATTATGTAAGACTAAACTGCAATTGCAACGCGTTGCATCTGTTTCCTGAATGAGCAAAAGTCATATCACACACATTCGATTTAGCCTAGTGGACCAAGCATAAGTTTTGAAATCAAAAGTCTGAAAGGTCAACTCGCCGATAAATTAAAAATTGATGAAACTCAAAAATTACTAAAGGTTGGACTAGTTGATTACAAAGGGAGGAGTAGACATTTCAGTACCACACCAAGGTGGTACTGAGGGACCGGGTGTAGGATGGATTTTTTTTTGATTTTGGCCTCTATCACCTCTCAAAATCTCAGGCCTCTGGGACACGGAGAAATTTGATAAGTGTGTTTTCAAAATCATCAAATAACAACTTGAAACTTGCACTAATTTTCGCTAAATTGACATTTAAGAAAAGCTCAAACGAGCCAGAGTAAACAAACAATAACTTACAATGTTTTTCACTCGTTCATTCAATTCTCAGTACTTCTTACGACTGTGGTTGCTATTTGCCCCACAGTCTTAAGACTATTGAAAATTTAGTTATCTGCATCGAGTTTGACTTGGTCAAGGAACGTATAAATAGAATGGTGACTTCCTTAAAATAGGGCAGTTACACCAATATGCTCTTCCTCTACTGCATTTGTTGTTCTTACCAGGCCAGCTGCAGCTTCTTCTGAGTGAGTTCACGAAATTATTGGAAACAAGGGCTCTCGGTTGTTGCAACTTTTTGTCTCCCCTTTTGACATAGATTTTTTTGGAATTCAAAGACAACCTGATCCAGCTTTTCACTAATGTCCTCATCTAGCTCAAAGCGATCAGCAATTCTCTCGAAATCTTCGATTGATTGAGCAAACGCAACGGTAACCATGTCAATTGGTACAAAACTTATCATAGGAATGAGTCGTAGTGCCAAATTGAGATCATGGTTGCTTTCCAGCAATCTTTTCAAACCAACTTCGTTGATTTTGCGGTTAAAAGGTTGAGTTAGATCAAAGAAGCATCTTTTAATACTGGTCAGAAGCATAAAAGTTAAGAGCAGCACGCTCAATGTCGAGGAGAAAACGGTTGGACTTGGCATTTTGCGTAGGCTGTGACAAACCGTTAAGGAATTTCTTGTAGGAATGGTTTCGTTTACTTGGAAGCAAAACATAAATGCACAGGATGTAAAAACCTGCCAATTGTTTTTGGATTGTATATAAATGATAATTTGCATTGGGCATATTTTAGAGATATCATCACAAAGCCAAATGTCTTCCTTTGTCGATACCGCTTTGTCGATACCGCTGCCGAAAATACAGAAGCTCCAAAATTGTTTCGTCATTTCAAATTGCCTACCAATAATTGGTGGGGCGCATGGTCTTTTCCTTGTTTTTTGTCATTTTAGAGCAATGTTTATTGCAGATTGAGAGGTTAAAGTCAAGTGCACTGCCTCTTCGTCCACTACGGATTGCAGGCGGGTGGCAATTTTACTGCAGTGAGTTGGCAGTTGCTGGATATTGGTAACTTATTTCATCCGACCGACCAGGGAAGACTTCATGGCCTTGATCATTGAGTGAGGAAATCGATCATCAAATTTGATAACTGTCACCTTGTTTTTATGGAAGTGACATCTTGGAAATTTTCAGTGTTCGTTTCCTTTTTTTGCCTTTTGCTTCTTGGTATTTTCATGGCAATCAACAATTATAAGAATGCGACGATTGCGTTGCCATAATCCCAAATACTTTTTGCTCATTTTTTGTTTCAATTTTGAATATTAAAAACACCGAATGAAACAGTTTTTACATCCATTCTACCCTTCATTGTGAAATTTGTGGCTTAAGTTTTGTTAAGTGTGATACAGTACATTTTTTAGGCGAAGCGTTAAATTGCTTCACATTAATTAGCTTCAATTTACAATTCAATTGTGTCCCAAGACCTGGCCTTAAATGAATTAACACGTGCAGGTTGAAAATTTATAATTCGGTATTTAATTAGTACATCAAAAGAACAAAACCAATTGCTACACAGTTGAGCTTAAGATATATTAGCATAGGGTAAATTAGAAAAGAAGTTAAAAGGCTCAGGCCAGATTGGAACGAGTTAAAATGGTATAGGGAA